CCATCTCCTTTATAAACGTTATGATAATACATGCCGGGCACAAACTGGGGCTATATTACCCAACTCTTTGTGAGATCCAACGTTACATTAATCCATCTTACTCAATGTACACTTCGATAATAACGTTAGTAAAACAAGACGTTGCCTTATGTGTAAATTAATAGGCATGAATAAATAACCCTTCCTATTTAACGTGTTTATGAATTAAAGTGCGTGGACTTTGTGAAATGTTTAGCAACCAAAACCGTAAACGAAAAGTGGTTTATAAAGAACGGTACCGGGGCACACTGATCTTCGAGCAGCACAAAGAAAGGCAGCCAAGGCTCTTCATTACAGGCTTACTGCCACTGTTAGCTTGCCGATCGGCGAGCGAAACACTTTAGATGAGATAGAAAGAAACCAAACGTTGGATACAACACATTTGTGAATTGCCCACTCCCGTTTACTTGACACATTATCACAAATGAAGCAATATTTTAGACTAGTTTGATACTATAGACATACTTAGTGTAGCCAACTGTGCTAGCTAGGTTAGCATAGCTCACAGTCGTGTTCTGACTTTGGGTATGTTCGTTTTGAATGTTAACTCCGTCTGTTATTGGATTAGCCTCACTATCTTAACTAGTTAGTGTGTTGAAGAACATTTAAGATTATTGTATGACATGTCTGTGTAACAAGCACTTAGGCAAGCATGTTTCACTTTAAAGTAACGTTATCACGTATTTGTGAAGAGCCACATTACTTGGTGGTTACCGATTATCAGAGCAGTAGCTTAGTACAAGCTAGCTAACGTTACGTAGTAACTAGCTAGCTTGGAATAAGCTAGTGGTTAGCTACCGGCCTTTCTTGACCGTTGAATCGTAATTGCGAATACCAACAACACGGCGTCTTATTCTGTGCTACAGATAACCCTAACCCAACTTCTCTTGATCTCCACTTTATCCAAGACTACCGATATCGTCGTCTATGATAACGCTAAACTCAGGGGAACAACTGAAGACCGGCGTAACCCGTCGTTAAAAACGTGCGCTCCTAGGAGAGGCTTCCCTGGACGCATCTTGTTGTATAAAGGCAATTGCCGATGTGTCGCCTGCCTTTTCACAATATCCTCGAATTACACTTACCATCAATATGTTTCTTATTTTCAATCCAAACCCCGACCACACGGGATGGTTTTCAACGAAGACTCGCGTCAAAGTAACAGCAAATAGCGATTTTATCCAACTTATTCTTCTTAGTTGTTTTCTCCACTTCCTGATTGAGACGGTGCCATTTTGAATAGCGAGAAAATATTTCCGCCGCTGTCGTCACACGCAGTGCCGCTTGGTGATCGCGAGCCGAGAGTAGCCCGACAGGCCATAAATAGTTCATCTCACACTGATCTCACACCTGAACCAATGCTTAACAAGAGAATACATTCATTAAAATGATCGTAAAGAAACTAAGTAGATTTCCTCTAGTACACGTTTGAGGCACTTGTACTATACTAGTATTTCAATGCTGTGCTACTTTGTAGTCTACTTCTTCCGCACTACAGAACCCTACATATTTAATAGTAGCCTACCTATTTAATATCTTTACTTGCTTTGCCGATTTGGATCAATGGTGTGAAATATAATCAACACATACATAAGACTTTACACAAGAAAAACCCTGAAGCATAAATAGTTAATATAAAAATAGCTGCACCTTTACCAGCTTTGATAAACACATTATTGCATCAATATTTATAATCAAAACATATGATATATTATTCTAAGATGTGTACATTTTTTCACGACAAAATTGTGATACTTTAAGTATATTTTGATGCTGATCATTTTGTACTTTTAGTTGAGTATTCCTTTTTAATGCAGGACTTGTAACAGTAATCTGTCACAACCTCAGGAGCAGTGAGTGACCACACACACACACACACTTTTTATTTATATACTAATATGTATATATATTTTTATTTGCACGTTGTTGGCATACAGTATGTTTTGTGTTATGCTGTTGTGCCACATGAATTGTTGACTTTATGTTTAGTGTTTCTTTGTGTCTTTGTTCTGTTATAACACCTTGTATTGTATTGTATTCCTATACTCTGGTATTTCTACTTGTAGGCTACTTGTCCATCTAAGATCGAAGTATTTCTCCCACCTCTGAAAATGATAGCCAATAAGACAATAAATTATCCAATTACTGCCCAATTATTGGCCTTAAACAACGATAAGTCGTAATAATAAGCTTCGGAAATGTATTTTATTAAATAGCCTAACATCAATTTGCCTGGTAAGATCTACAACTTGATGCTGCTTGATGTGACTTGATTATAAATTGACATATCTAAAAGACTAAAATGTTAATCAAACTGCAAAGGAATTTTACAGGCAAAGTGTATTTGGGTTGGTTTTAAATTGTCCCTATACCCTACATTCGGTGTACGTTTGTATGATCTCAAACAGTTAAAAAGCTTTCGAAGTTAATTGAGCCAATAACTTCCATTAAAAAATGAAAATATAGTGAGGCCTATTCAATCAACCAATCATTCTAGGAAAGATGTCTATAAATGTAAATCCATGAGACGTTACCTATTACAGACATGCCTGTACTTCTTTATAGAGCATGTCATTTTTAAAATTCCTATTCTCTGTCCCTTTAAGAGGTCATAGGTCTAAATTTAGCCTGAAAATGACTATGAGCCACTAGTAATGATAGTAATAATCAAAGCTAATGAATAACCTAATGAATGTAAAAAGAGCTCATTGTGTAATATCAGAGAGGATTTTGGAGAATAAACCAATATAAAAAAGCATCCTGCAAAAGTGAAAATAACGCACAATAGAAGGGAAACATAGAGAGAGCATAAATTGCATTATGTTTAAATTTAGGAAAAATTAAAAAATTGTTATAAAAAAAGCCTTTCTGTGTTTTTTTAGTGTTGGATTTTCTCTGCAACTGACACCAAATATGTTTTGTGACTGTTCTATAGAGGGTATTTTCATTCAAGCAAATCACCAGAATTTCTTCCCTGCAGACAGTTGTTGTATACAAACCAATTTATTAGATGTTAGATAGATGTTCATCTATGCAGGTTGCTGTCTCATTTTGGCATCCATCAGTTCCTTCTACGTTATTGAACCATCGAGCTGGAAGAGTTCCAGTTGTTTCCAGCAAACACACAGTGCCACGGCTTTCCTGGTAAAACAGTCCCCCCCTTTCCCAACATAGAAGGTTGGTGGGAATTAAAGGGCGTGTGCATGTGTGTGTGTTGTTTACATTTAAGCTACTGAAATTGTCTTCAAAGATAAAAGATATTGGCAGGGTTGTGCTTTGTCTTCCCTGTCTGATGTTGTTGTTTGGTCTTTTGTCAGACAGGTGGTGGCTGTTGATACAGGATTTAAAGGCAAGCTCCTGGCACATTTAAATTACACCTTTATGATGCATGTTATAGCTAATAATTGAAGACCATTTGAGTTAGGACTAACATTGCGTTTATCTGTTGTAGCGTCATTGTATAAGAATCAGAATTACATTTATTTGCCAGGTGTTTGTACACATACAAGAAATATAACTTACCTGTGCTATTATTAATGTACTTACACAGAATAGGAATAGATATTACATATGTATCTGAATTGAGTCAACGCAATATCAAGCTGTGATAAACCAATTACCCTAATTTTTGGAAACATTTCTGATGTTTCTGAATATTTTAAATCAAAAGCATTTCTAATTAAACAACCTCAAAATCAATAGGGGGGGGGTCTTCTCTTTTAGCTTGGATCTGGTGCACCCTACTGGAAACATACTGCAAATACTTGGTTTGGAGTGAACTGGATTTTGAGTTCTTTAAGAAATAACTGAAATATTTAAGTTGCAGACATAATTTAAAGGGCTTAGAAAAATTACCCAAAGCAGAGCCCTTAAACATAGGCTCAATGAAGATTTGCATCCATTGATATTTTTTTTGCATTTGGAGAAATGGCCGCAGGAATAATTCCCACTTCCTGTTTATGTCTTCACTGCACATTTTCTGAAATAGGTCTGTAAAGCTGTGTTCCTCAAACAACTACATTCATTCATATTGTCTGCCTATTCAGCATCTGTTCATTGTTATTCTTACGCAAGTTAGTGACTGTAAATAGACATGCACTCTGCATACAGTTGACGTCAACGACCTTCCTTTTGTTTTTAAAACCCTTGCAAAACCAGCAACACGTATTTGTTAAGAAATGTAAATCAGTGGTTACTTTTAAGGAACTTAATCCATCTCCATTTATTTTCCTTTTTCGACATACTGATATACAACCATGTCTTGAAATGGATCAACATTTTTGATATATTTTAGGTCACAGTGTCCACAATTTTTGCTGGATTGAAGGAAACAAAAAAGAGCAGACAATTCAATTCTTATGATCCCTGAAAACTACTGTCACATCCATACTCCTTAAACCATTGTAGTATAGCTATATGAGTGAATCATAAACGGCACACAATCACACATTTCAAAACACACATTAAGTGGATCAGGATCAGGGTCACTTAAAGTGTGTTGCTACATGAAGTGGAATGTAGGCCTCCTCACTAATACGACTTATGTAAATCTCTGACCAAACCAAATTGCTTAACTTTCCCCCCAAAAGCTTCTTTGTCTCCACTTCATTATTTTTCCCAGTAAAGGCCATGTCTGCCTCAGGCCAGCCGTAATTTGATTAATCCACCGAGAGGGTAGCCAGACGGTAAGAGCCTGCTCTGCTTCTTTTCCGTTCTATTCAAAATTGTAGGTCTCATTTAGGATATTATTCCATGACATTCATATTTAGTTGTACTTAAAGGATTGATTTCATTTGTTCCAGTTCTCCTAAATATATTGGTTCCTTGCTTTTTGAATATTGTTTTTTAAAATATCAGTATTACTATATTGAGGATACTGTATTGACGTGAAAACCGATAACTGTGTTTTTCTTTTCTTTTACCAGTGCTGAGGGGTTCTGAAGGGAACAGCTTTTGAAGAGATGGAGACCTTTGTATTTCTATTTTCATTTTCTGCCCTCGGCATTCTCTATGCCATGAACAGCATTCCTGCATTTCAAGAGTAAGTCAAAGCACGTATTGATTTATTGAAAAAAAATAGAGAGTGCTGAACGGAGTCAAGAAATGTGTGATATTGAAGAAAAAATGAGGTGTTCTTCATTGATAGTGCAAGTAAACTAAGGTCACATTACTTTTAATTGAGGCCAACAGTGTGGATTAGCAGTCTGAAAAGCATCCAAGGCATTTTTCATTTTATGTGCTTTTAATAGTTTATTATTAGTTATTTGTGCTAAAATTGTTATGGCCACACTAATTGGTGGAAACTAGTAAATTTTGTCTTTAAAATTATAGCAACAATTGTATACAACCCCAACACCTAAAAAAATTGAAATTACATTAATCCAACACAAATATAATCTTTAACAATTATAATACAATTTAAATAATATAAATGTTTATTTTTTAACAGTCAACTCCTCCTGTAAAATGAGATGAAAAGCAGTATTTTTTTTCACCACTAGAGTACACTATAAACTCAAGAAATGTGAATAGAATGTGTGGAGATAATCTGATGTTGGAGATAATTAATGTTCTCAGCTAACTCAATTATTATATTCTTTTCTTAGTCAGTTATTTTCTGTTTTGCCTGTTTATTGGGATTCTGCTCTCATTATATTGTCTCAAAGGTGGGGTAGGTAAGTTTGAGAAACCGGCTCGAAATACACTTTTTGTTATATTCCATGGAATGCTCTTAACATCCCGATAAGCAATGAATATTTTAAGTGCTTAGACAAAAAATCCATTAAAAAAAATGCATCAGTGGAAGCCGTATTACTGTAAAAAGCACGACCAATCATTTTAGCCGGCCGGCTAAAAATAACTGGATGGCCTACCTGCCTGTCAGCCTTCCATCTGTGCACTAATTTATCTCGTGCCCTCATTGGTCATGTGCGCGTTGGTGTGTGTTGGAAGAGGGGCTCTGTAAGGAAGTGGCAGATTTTTTCCGGCTGTGTATTTTCAAATTCTAGCGCATTCGAGCTGGTTTCTCCAAAATTACCTACGGGCACATTTAAGAGTTGTGTCCTGCCTCATGGGCTGAATAGCCAGTGAAACACACGTTGCACTCCGACACCCTTAAACTTTTTACAGCCAGATATTACTCATTTTTGACAGACTTTTACACTCCTCCTGTGTGAATATCTCTGCTGGCTCTTTTTTGAGTGTGTGGACATTGAGAATCAATACATACTGCCCAGAAGAGTTTGATAAATTGCTCTTGACATACAATATGCCTTGTGCTCTTCCACTCTGCAAACAAACAGTATTGTGCGCATAAATCTTTCTGCACTTTTGAATTGAAGAGTTGGCAAGGAAGCTTCACAGCATTTGTTTTCCTTCTGTGAGCACAGATTGTGAGTTTTTCTGAGGCTGTAATGTTGTTTATCCGGAGATACCTTCAGCACATTAATCTTTCCAGTGCGAGAAAACGGTACCTTTGACCAGTAAACATGGAGGGCAGCGCTGAACTAACATGGCCTTAGCTTGCTGCTTCCCACACTTCTGCCTATGATTGATTATACCTTTGTAAAGCTGGGCTTTAAAGCCACTGGAAGGCATACCACCACAGCAGTATGAGAGGGTATTTAAGTTTAACAAAGATAAGTTGCTGTACTGTATACTAACTGTACGACAATGTTACTTTCTTTTAGAAAATAAAAATGCATAACCTCATACAAAGAAAGAGAATTTGAAGGCAGTTAAAATATTCTCTTCAACAAAAAATAAGCATGTAATAACATGACAGAGAGACATGATTTTGAGACTTTTAAATCAGAAATAGCAGCCATTTTGATTCAGAAATTAGTTTCTTTAAACACATTATATTTGTAAAACTGATACAAGGCTACTCCTTGTACCAAAATCTCAAATAAAAGGAGTTAAGAAAAGTAGATCCAATGTGATCCTGCCATAATAAGATGACAGATAGTTTGACTTTTTTTTTAATCAGAAATACCAACAATTCTGATTAAGGATTGCTTAAACTTATTATATTTGTAAAACTTCAGATTACAATGAGGCGACACCTGAACTAAAAACAATCTAAGATTACAGGCGTTAAGAAAGAAAAGAAAATAATGTGATGCTGCCATCTCACCAGGAATCTGCAGGGAAACAAAGCACCACACCAGCAGTGCCTTTGTTCCCTCTGGGTACAGTGCATCCCTCACACATATTTCTCCTCACACTTCTGAATTATTTCTCCCTGTGCTGACTCTGGGTGTTGCGTGATTATCATTCTCCCTGACTTCCCATTCATCATCATTTACTAATTTAGCACTGCCGAGCACACTGGCACAACTTCCATGTTAGAAACTAATTAGTGAAGAGAATGAAGCAGAAAATCAGAAGCAGATTGGTATCTAAAAGTGCAGAGTGTCAGCAGTGAGCCTGTGGACAATCTGTACCCTTATGTTTCTTAGGTAACAGTTGGATTCCTCTTCTTTCACAGGCCTTATGTGATCTTGGAGATTGGCGTTGCTGTATTGGTGGTTGTGTTTCTATTCTACTTCCTCATCACGCGTGGCAACCCCCCTAAAGATGTCCTATTCTTTGGTAATCAACACAACTATATGTGCATTTCACAACTCACATGCAATATATTTCCAAATCACTGTATTTTACAAAGATTATATTGTATGTAACATGAATTGTGTTCAATGTGATTTCACCTGATATGTCGAAAGCAGCTTAGGTTCAGAGCAAATATTAACCACACTTTTCTGAGTCATGACCGACCCAAACCCCCTTCAAGCTGAGAACATTCACACCTCTTGTACATACTTAATCTTTTAGCTTTTCTTTTGAGACTTGAATTGACCTTGAACCAAAATCACAGCTTTTGGAAAATGGGTCATACACGAAAAGACTCCACACTTCTGCTCCTGCATAAAACCATTGCTACTACACTATCAACTGACTCTAAATGCCATAAGGGTGTCTGGATTCAGTTTTAATCATATGACAGTTGGCCTCTTGTGCACAGTTTACACACTTTCAATTTAGCTTTAGAGATTTGTGTCACATTGTTCCCCGTTAATTTATTGCTCAAATATGTTTTCCATTTCCAGTCATTATTTCCCTGCAAATTCTCCCCTGCAGCTGATACCAGGGGCTAAGCTTGTGGGTAAGAAACAATGTGATATATCCGTAGTTGGTGCCCAGGGCCAGGCTAGTGTTAGGCTGGAGAAACCACAACAATGAGGACAAAGCTGCGGCAGGCTCCTCTCAATGATAGAGAGCCATAATCCCCCTGCTATCTCACCTGTTAGATGTCAGAGATAAACCTTGTTGTCCTGAGGATTACAGAGGCCCTGGTACACAGTCGAGACAAAACGCATGTGTCTGTGTGCAAAGAGTGTGTGAAGGACAGATAGGAAGGATATGATACAGCGATTTTAAGCTGTGGTATCTGCAGCGATATGCTCGTGTCACAACAAACTGTGATTCCCTTTATAATGACATTCTGACAAAAATTCCAGGCAGAAAATCATTGCAATGGCTTTTACAGCTGTTTTCTATGAACTGTATATCCAACTGCAAATCACTGATGCAGGCGTGCGATTTTCCACAAATGATGTGCACGTTTTTTAGATGCTCTGTTTCAGTTCAGCTAAAGGGATTGCTAATTCTGATAAATATTTCACAGTTCTTGATGAAGTCAGTGTATGCATATCGGTTGCGCCATAACAGTCATACCTCCCAACTGTTGTGTACAATTTTTTCCACGGGTGAAGGGTCATTTGCCTCATATTGTTTACCCCACATGCTCTGCCATTGTGAATGTGAATTTTGTAGTTGATTACATCCAGGAAACATTTTCCCAGTCATTAACAATCCAATGAGCATGATTTGCCAATGCCCATCTCCTTAATTATAATGTGAAGTTACATTTCATGCTGCACTGCACCCTGATGACTGAGGACTTTTTATGGTCCGAAGCATCCAGACGTCTTCTACGATCATCTGCTGAAAGTCTCCAACATGCTGTAGCCAGTGTTTTGGTGAGCCGACGTGTGTTGTAGTCCATTGATTGTTAACCAGTGAAACTGCTGCACTTTAAAAAGTCAGCCAATATCCTTAAGGTGCACGATCCTGCCCTCTTGGCACTCAAAAATAACCCCCTTGTTACTTCATGTGTAAAGCCCATTTTTAGTAATCCAGTTTTTTTAAAAGAACGTTTTTTTACACTTGGTATTAGTGATTCATATACAAATCATATGGAAGCTGTTTCAGTTACTTTTCTAGCTCCCAAATCTCCTGAAGAAACCTCACAGGGAATAGAAGTGTTTAGTAAACAGTCAATGACAGCCATTGTACTACTGGGGCCAGGGTTTCTTAGCATTTGTAAGACTCACATGCCACTCAGGTGTTTGTTCAGCTCTGCACTTTAAATTCTGTCTTGTTGACATGGCCTTTCAGCTCTAACCTTAGGTTGGAAGCAGGGACTCAATATAAATATGCCTCCAGCATCCCTTACTGCTCAAGACTTAATTTTCTCCACCCGCTTTCCCATAAATCACTTAACCAGTTGACGTCAAATGCCTTGAACTTAAAAATGTGGAATTAAAAAAGCTGGAAAAGAGTATTATAAAGGTTTAGGAGACATGCGGTTTCTAAGCACTCTTACAACACTGTATGTATTTTCTGATTAGCTGGACAAAAGAGATTGAGTCATTTCATGAAACTTTCAAAATCATGGTGGCTTTTGAATGACGTTTGTTCAAAGCTGAAAAGCTGCTTAACATGTCATGGTGTCCTGCAAGTTTTGGGGGGTCTGAAGCTAATACTGTTTAGTTACATTTACACGGACCAACACACACTGAAACAGTATGAATTTTAAAATTATGCATTTTTCATATGTATCAATCGGATAGATGTTTTTATTTACCTGTTGCAATTGTTTATTGCCTTTGCAGTTTTTGCTGTATTTTCCTTTACTTGTGTCATTGACCTGGTGAGTGCCTTGGAATATGACGGATTTATCTCCGGCTTTATGACATTCTACCAAAAGACAGTAGGTTTCTTATTCTCACCTCTAAAATGCTTTTGTTAATAATACAAAATACCCTGATTTAAAACGGCAGCCATATTTGAACCCACTGTTGGTCATTAACACTCTCTCTACGTACTGTCTGTGTTTCAGGGAGAGCCTTACCTGGGGACACCCTATGCCATCATGATGTGTTATTGGGATGGAATAGTGCACTTTATCATGTATCTGGTGATGATCAGCAGGATAACAGACAGGTGGGTGATGATCAAGTCACATCAGGTCACATCAAGCTCATTCATCTTGCTGTCCATCACAACATGACTATACAGAAATCAACAGTACCCTGCCTATCTAACTGATGAAACAACAACTTAAGAGCTTGCGAAAGCACAGCTGTAACAGAATATTTTAGCACTAAGCCCATAGACTTGCCTTGTTTTTTCATATATTAGACTTTCTTCAAGAAATAGAGACAGAGAGAGATTCACAAGTTGCCTTAATCATATCAAATTCACCAAATGGCCTGAATAAAACATTATTTTCAGGAAACAGGGTCCTCTAGAGTTAGTTAGTCATTTGAAGAAGTGGGTTCAAGAGTTCAGGGTGAGTGCTGTCTTGGTTTAGGTACTATCATATAATAAAAAATTGTTTTAAAAGGTTGCCAGCTTTTAACCACTAGGAGAAATTGCACCGTGCTATGTATTACACAGAACATGTGATAGATGTGTAAGAAGTTAACCATTAGAGGCATGTATCGACTGACTGGCATGTATTCCCATCCAGGAAAGGCTACCGATCCCTGGGTTTGATCTGGGCTGGCTCTCTGTGTGCCAACATGAGTGTGTTCATCGCCGGTATAGTGGCAGGTGAGTCACATCTCTTATTCACCCTCACTTGTCCCGTGATGAAAAGCGTTGATCAAGTGAACATCTGCTCTGTCGTGTACCATCAGTGTCACAGTTCAGCCTGCCAACAGACATGCTCCATGCCTCGCCTGCCGTCACAAGCCACAGAACAAAGCAGGAAGCATGCGTTAAGCATCTGTTGTTGACATTTCAAACTTCATACATGAGTGTTGCAAGATCAGACGTCTAAAGTCTGCTGTGTTATCATAGACACACTGTACTGTATGCCTTAAGCGCACTGTACAGGTTTAATTTGGATGCTTTAATACAGATGTACACTGAGATGTATATGGGTCAGTAAACAATGATAAAAGTCTCTTGCTTTTTCTTTGTGGCAGGTAAATATGGGTCAGAGATCCGTCCAGCTTTCTGGATCAACTTTCTTTTCCTCCTGATGCCTGTGTGGGGAGCCATTACACTATTCACACGGCCCAAGGACAGACCACTAATTGGTGGATACAATGTAAGTCTGATGCATGAATTGTTAGACCTTGGTATGAGAGGTTTAGAGCAGTGGTGTTTGCTGATTGTACTTTAATCAGGGTAACATATAGTGAAGTCCAGTTGAATATGATCCAGACCATGAAAGAAAACAAAGGTCAGCCAATTCATCATTTATATTTATGAGCTGCTGTAATTTTAGGTGGTGTAGTCATTGTGAGAATAGGATACTGTGGTGTACTCAACTGAACTTAACAACCTAACAATGTTAGCAAGTGAAACTACAATGTTCCCAAATGAAATGTAATAAGTTAGCCAGCAGTGGAAGAAGCATTACAAATGTTTACTTAAAAAATTGCATTTTGAAAACCACAATGGGAAAATACTCCAAATGTATGAAAAAGATCATGCAAACCTTACTTAAGTAAAAGTAGCCTATGTAACTATTACCAGCAAAATGAACTTAAAGGTGGGGTAGGTCATTTTGGAGAAACCAGCTCGAGTGCGCTATAATTTGAAAATACACAGCCGGAACAAATCTGCCTCTTCCTTACAGAGCAGCTCCTCCAACACACACAAACGCGCACATGACCAATGAGGGCACGAGATAAGTTTGTGCACAGATGGAAGGCTGACAGGCAGGTAGGCCATCCAGTTACTTTAGCCGGGCCGGCTCAGATGATTGGTCGTGCTTTTTACAGTACTACGGCTTCCACAGATGACATTTTTTTTACGGATTTTTTGTCAAAGCACTTAAGATATTCATTGCTATATCGGGATGTTAAGAGCATTCCATGGAATATAACAAAAAGTGTATTTCGAGCCGGTTTCTCAAACTTACCTACCCCACCTTTGAGACAATATAATGAGAGCAGAATCCCAATAAACAGGCAAAACAGAAAATAACTGACTAAGAAAAGAATATAATAATTGAGTTAGCTGAGAACATTAATTATCTCCAACATCAGATTATCTCCACACATTCTATTCACATTTCTTGAGTTTATAGTGTACTCTAGTGGTGAAAAAAAATACTGCTTTTCATCTCATTTTACAGGAGGAGTTGACTGTTAAAAATTAAATTGTATTATAATTGTTAAAGATTATATTTGTGTTGGATTAATGTAATTTCAATGTTTTTAGGTGTTGGGGTTGTATACAATTGTTGCTATAATTTTAAAGACAAAATTTACTAGTTTCCACCAATTAGTGTGGCCATAACAATTTTNGGTGGGGTAGGTAATTTGGGAGAAACCAGCTTGAGTGCGCTAGAATTTGAAAATACACAGCCGGAAAAAATCTGCCACTTCCTTACAGAGCCCCTCCTCCAACACACACAAACGCGCACATGACCAATGAGGGCACGAGATAAGTTTGTGCACAGATGGAAGGCTGACAGGCAGGTAGGCCATCCAGTTACTTTAGCCGGGCCGGCTCAGATATTGGTCGTGCTTTTTACAGTACTACGGCTTCCATCGGGATGTTAAGAGCATTCCATGGAATATAACAAAAAGTGTATCTCGAGCCGGTTTCTCAAACTTACCTACCCCATCTTTAAGACGATTTTTACAATGATTTTTTTATGATAATAAAATCTAATAAAATAGTAAAAAAGTGGCTGAAACTTCCTTTTTTTGACAAACTCAAGACAGAGATGTTGTAAACAGATAGTTGCACTAATGGTTGCCATGGATGCCACTGTTGCTATAATTTTCTCTATTGTGTTGTTGCAGAGAAAATTTTACTTCTGTTTTGAATCGTATTCACAATCCCATATATATATATATATATATATATATATATATATGTACAGTATATTATATACTATTATATTACTGTATGTACTCTATTTAACCTTTCTTATTTTTCGTGAAGAAAATCAGCAACTCTGTCCCGGCACAATCCTGCCATGTCAACTGTAAGTGTACATTAAGTTGACTTGAGCCTTTGACAGCCCATCACTTTGAACCTTTGTTATATTGTGTATAGCTTCAGGTCTACTGCCACACAATGTACTCAGCTCACTCAAATTAACCACAGCATCCCTTTGACAGTCACTTAAACGGCAACTGTCCGAGAAGGGGAGTTAAAGCAGACTGCCTGCTGTTCTGCAGACAAAGAACCTGATGCATTCAGATATCTGCAGCCAGCAAAAGGGCATCATAAAAGATGACTGATCCTTTTCCTCCCCAAGGAGTGCGTTTCCAACCACAACACACACTCCAATAGAGGTGAAGCTCCAGATGTATCTTCTTTAATTCTTCTTGTGCAGAGTGACGGACTTGGCTCTGGAGTTTGGTGCAGACCAGGATCTGCGTTTGACTTGCTTCACTAAAGTAAACACTGTTGTGAGTTCCTGACTCTTGGCCCTGCTGTAAACAGGAAGTAGAGACAGTTCTGGAAAGCTGGCTGCTAACGCTCATCTTTTTAATCTCTTTGACTTGGCATGTATCTTCATAACAAGAACCCATGTTTCTCAAATTATGTGTATTTACTTTGGGCTGTATTTTACATTTACAACCTTAATTGTAGTTCATTAGTGGGGCAGTATATCATATATGATATGATTAATTAACATGCTATTAAGCAAGTGTTTTTCTATACTGTTAATCAGAAAGTTCTGGCGTGCATTAAAACGTGTCCTCGTGTAATCAGTTGAATCTGGGCAGCATGCACCAAAAAAAAGAAAAGTGTAATTAATATTGAGTGTAAAGCCATAAAAGACATGCTTTCAAATATTGCTATAATAAAGAAACAAAATACACTACATAACATTATTTGTTCTGATAATACAAAGGGTGCTTTCTTTTACAAGCTTTATGAGAATGATCTGTTAGTAGGGCCAAAACTACAACCACTAACGGTGTCATTAAAAGAAAATGCTTTGTATCTCTGACACTATTTATGTTCATAGTTATCCAATTTGTTCTAACTCCCTTTGTTTGGATTAAATCTCAACAAATCCCTAAAACATTTCAAGTCCAAGCATCCCTCCACACCTTCCCTGCTTGTTTTCATGCTTCAAGTTAAGACATCTGCCATAAGAATCCACAGACCCATTATTATGAATTCAGGGGCAAAAACATCCCTTATATGGTTACACTCAGATCCCCCTTCCCTTTTTTCTTCTGGAATAGAAGAAATGCAAAGCAATTTGGAATACTAGAAAACAGACTGCATGTCTATCCAACATAAACTTTGAGATTCCCAATTCTGCGTTTCAGGCAAGTTTTCCCATAGCAGAGGGGTTAGTCACTGTGCCTTTTACTTTGTGTTGACGCAGACAAACTTCTATTTCATTTCAGTTTTTAATCTCCAAAACCTCTGCCATTTTTTACCCACATATTGTGAGTACAAGTTCAAATGCTGAGTGGCAATGCAAGAACACCTCATATTATATAAGTAATAGTATCTCTGGCATAAAAAGGTGATCATTAATGCAGGGCTGGTTCCTTTCATTGTGTCCACCCCTGTGCACATCATGTTAGAGATGGAGAGAGGTGGTGAGGGAATTTAGAAGCAGAGTGCTGAACTCTGAGTCAAAAGAAAAGGGCCTGGTGTTTTCCCCGAGGGTCGCTGATAACCCGTTTGGCAGGAAAGGCCTTGCAAATGACTGCATTCCTTGTTAACCTTGTAAGGCTATTTTTACCACTAAAGGGTCTTTTGAGCGGGCACCTTTTGTTCGCCCTGCAGCCTGAAACAGGAAAGACTGGTTTGCATTGCAACCCTCTGGGAGCTTGGCTCCGATCTCTGTCTCTCGTCACGATCCAACCATCCATCCTAATGCTGATCTCTGTTTACGCAATGAATCTTCAGGGCTCCCGACACATGAACCCGGTAACTCCGCTGCACAGTTCACTGTAAAGTAATGCAAATAGTAAGCTGAGGCTGTGCACATAATTCACGATAAAGCTAAGATTACAGGAAGAAAAGTTGGACGTTTTCCCAGGGAATGTGAACAATCTGTGCCTAAATAATGAAAGCTAACTCCCCACTCGTCTGTCCAAAGGTTGTTTGCTCTGTGTATGTTTGTATATGTCTTTATTGTTTTTTCAAGGGACATTCCTCTGGTCAGAAATCCCCTCTGACTGTCCCCAAGAGGTGAAAGGTCCGCAAACAGGCCGATTTCCTGTTGCCTGACCAGAGAGTCCATGTAGTGTTTGAGCTGCAGCTCCTCAGGGATTCCTGGCAGTGAATGTGATCATGTCCTAAGAGGATTAAGAGGAGACCCTGGCTGCAATGAGCCAGAGGTCAACATCGCTGTGATGGTGGGAATGACCTCGCCTGTCACCACACATCTGTCAGTGTGCAATGTGTACTGAAGTGACCAAGCATCTGTCGTCAGGGTCCTGATTTCTTTGCCGAGTGTAAACAATACAAAAAACAAGAGAAAGAGGTTGAAGACAACCCTACAATGTTACGAGACCCCATGTGCATGACAAAACTAGAAATGGGAAAGAATATCTGAGTCAGAATTTATGAAATGATTAATGGGAACTTCAATACACACAGATGTGCATCTTTGTAAACAAAATAATAAAAAAGAAACTGAGACGGAAAAAGACACTTCAATAAAAAGTGTAAATTGGCACGGCAAGGAAATGGGAATGAAGACACAAAGCGAGCGCAGAGGAAAAAATAACAATAACTATTTAAATATGCAATTAAACAGCCGTATTTCAAATAGGTTAGAAAATAAATGATATAACTTGCATTTAGACATAGTTTTTATAGTAACCTTGGGCCTCTTTTACAAAGGCAATTTTATTTTAATACAGTAAATATCATGGTGTCCCATTTCACGAATGATTGCTGACAAATGTGCAAGGCCCAAAGGGCTTCGCATGCTTATTCATGGGTTGCCGGCATTAGTGAAATCTGCCAAAACGTGTTCTCTGATTTCTTCAGTTTTTTCCCTCTAAGCTGACTTCCTGTGTTGCCTGTTAAACATATTCTCTGGGGCTGTACTCGAGCAACCAGAGGCTGATCAAAACTCATCTCTCATCTTCATCTTCTCTCAGAGCCTGGATGAGCTGGACGATGATGACGCCGTGGAGAAGAACAGGAAGGAGGAGGAGGAGCTGGTTCAGGCCAACACTTTCCAGAACGAGGCCATGGCGGCTGACCCCGCCACCGGACACTTAATGGTAAGGAATTACAAGACAGGAGGTAGGAGGACAGAGCTGCACATCTTTTCTCACCTTTTAATGGTATCTAGCTGAAATGTCAGCCTCAATACAGTGAAGATTTAATATAGAAGGGTCCCATAACATGGTCTTATTTTCCACCACACTCTACACAAGCTAGATACTGTACATGGTTCCTGCCAAACAGAGGCACTGTTGCTCAGAGTTTGTGTGACAAGCTGCAGTGATGCAAAACCCTAAGGTGTCTCTGCATTTCATCATCACTGTGAAATCGGTTAAAAGAAACATATCCTTAAATCCTCTTAAAGCTACTAGGAGAGACTCTCACTGCCATGTTAGGTTTTTGGTGGTGTAATTGTCTAATTCCTAAGGCTGTTGGAACATACAGAGTGTGACATAAGCTTGAGATGTGTCTAAAGCAGCTACTGTTAATGTGACTATAGAGAAATGGATTTTGATTGTATCAATATGAGCAGTGAGATGAATTGCCCTTCATTTATTAGCTGACTGACAAGCAATACATTTTTATAATCGATTATTAGTTTGAGTCATTAATGGAGCACTATCTTCAGCTTCTGCAGTAGAAATATTTGCTGCTGTTTTCTATCCTTGTACATTTAATATATTTTGGTTTTCGGGATGTTAGACAGACAATTTAAAAAAAAAAGTCACCCTGGGCTTTATAATTGTTTTAAAACCAAATTAGTAATAAATTATGCAAAATACCAATTAAGAATTATAGATAATGAAAATAACAGTTTCAGAAACAAGTATCTGGTCTTTCAGACTCCTCTCTTTGTTTTTCTTTGTGCAGCTTCACAAGGTCCAAAGCCACATCAATCCAACGTTATTTGCGAGTCAGGGTTAGTGTGCTTTTGTATAGTGTGTCTGGTTCTTAGCAGTGTGAATCAGTTACTGTTACAAAATAAGTCTTTTAATCTTGGCAAGCGATACTGTGCTTGTTCAATAAAAGTCAACTCGTGCAGAGACAGTCTGCTCTTCCTACAAATAAGTCCAGGAAGTGTCTGAGGAGTAAATCAATTAGTAAAAGTAGTTCATATTCAGAAGTGCATTGGGTGCAATTTCCAACTCAACTTCAAACACACTCAACTTCCAACACATTGGATTTCCAAATAATGATATGAGCACACGCAGGAAATGAAAAGCATCCAGCTGTGTACGAACGACTGAAACCTCCTCTCAGTTTGTATTTCTGTAAAACATCGTCTGATTTACATGAAAGTTGCTATTTGAGAGGAATGGAAGAAATCAAATGGCTGCTCCACACAGTGACAGCTCTCGTGGATGCTGCTCAGAGTTCCAGATGGATCGGCTGTTCTGCATCAGAGGGGCTCTTTCTGATTCAGGCTGGAACCGTCTGAGGCTGTTTACTCGAAGCGAGGGGCTTGTGTATGAAAAATGTACACAAACACCGCACTAACAGGAAGACTGCGACAGCACCTGCTGGGAAGTAGAAAATAAAAAGCAGAGGATTTGACTCTTTACATGAGGTAGTCTAGTGAGGAAATAAACAAGCCATTCTGTGGAATCCGTTTTCTGCAGTATTTATAGTAGGGATGTAAAGATATATCGAATATCGCGATATCGCGGTAAATAAATGTCTCCATACCGTCGTGAGACTGACAAAATCTACCGCGATTTTTTTAATTTTTAAAAAATATATATGTATTTTTTTTTTTAAATAAAAAAAAAAAAATTGAAACCTTTATTTAACCAGATGGTCCCATTGAGATCATCGGTCTCTTTTTCAAGGGAGACCTGTCCAACATGGCAGCAAGTAGGTTACAACATGAACATAAAACAACAGATAACACAAAAGGACATGGTATTTACAGGGCTACATTTACACACCTAGAGACATTGACAATTACCAACAGTATATTTATATCTCGCCCTGTCAATAAGCCTCACCCTCTTGGCAAAAACTGTATTGTTTTTGAAGTGGTGGAGAGACAATGCACAGTTTTACCCACTGCTGCCACCCATGGCCAAAGCATATCTCTCTGTCCCAGCAACATCAGTACCAAGCAAGAGAGTTTTTCCACAGCAGAGGATATTGTAAACGCCCAAACATCCCAGCTTCTACCTGGAAATGTGGACATGCTCATATTCCTAAAAGATAACCTTGATGATGCTGAGTGAGTGAGTTAGAGTTGAGTTACTTGAAAAACTAAAGTGAAACTTGATTTATTCTATTGCAGGGTCTGATTATTATATTGTTGACACTTTAAAATACTACTATCCTACTAAAATGCTGTACAAATCAGATCTATTATATAAAAAATTAATTAAAAAAATCAAAAAAGATTCCCCTTTATTTTTCAATATCACGATAAATATCGTACCATGGACTTTTTATAGCGATATTATCGTACCGCGAGTTTTTGGTGTCGTTACATCCCTAATTTATAGTGAGAGATTCTCAACATCTGAAACTGAACATGTCCATTTATGAATGCCGAATCTATTCTCCCAGCATGACGTCTAACGCACACCACGTGGTTTTACAGAAACTAGCCTTTAGATGTCTCACTGTCACTCATGTGACATTCATAACCTGCTGGGGGTCCGGTGCCAGAGTGCTCATAAAGAGGCAGTCTGGGAAAATAAAGAAGGTCCAGTGTGGCCAGCAGATTTACTACAGAGCTGTCAGCTTGACATCTGTAAAGATGGAGCATCCCAAAAATGTGCCGCTCCTCTCAGGCCCCATTTATCAACGAGAGACAGAGATTGCCATGTCAGGCCTGATATGATATACCGCGTCCAGTCAGGCCTCTTGGCTAGTATCAAGATATCTGGACAAAAAGTTTTTTCTAGAAGCTCAGTTCAACTTGTGTTCAGAGCTGTAGGGCTGTTAACAGTTTCAGAACATTTCCCAACACAAACAAGCTGTTACTCCTCTGTTTGCAGCATGATGGAAACACAAAGGATCTGAATTAGTTTATCAGATGTTTTAGATTCTGTAATGATGTGTGTTTTCCATCTCTTTCTGGGACATGTGTTCCACCTCACATTCTATCAACAGAAATCTTTTCATAATAGTGCAACTTTTCAAATGAAACGAAAGATGAGCCATTTGAATAACCTTTGAGATTATGATGGACATTGTTGACATTTTATAAACTCAAGTAAACAAGTTAAGGTTGAAATTCTAAATTGAATCCTTATAACCCAAGTATACACAGACATTTTGTGCAAGGTTAAATCTGACAAACTAACTCCATGGTTATATTCCTATAATCTGTTTTAGTTAGTTATAAGTCTGACATTTGAATAAAGTACACATCACTGTTAGCAGTTCGATTCAATTCTTGATAAGAGATACGTTTTTAGAGAAGTACTCATCTGGCTTTTCATGTCCAGCCATGGCAGCTGTTTATTTGCTTATAAAGTCGATATCTGTGAGTGTGTATTTGTGCATGGACAGGACACACACCTTTTCCCAGTGAGACAGGACTAATGTATCTGATATGTGCCGGTGCGAGAGGCCCTCTGCAGGCATGTGGTCCTGGTTATCAGGCCTTACCTCCCTCCGGTATGCAAGTATTACATGAAACCTGCTTCAGTGATCCTGCAGTCAGAACCATATGTCACATTCCTCGGGATCATCTGCATTTAATGTGGCGCCAGGTCCACTGCAGAGCAAAATCATTTATTTTGTACCTCTCTATCACATGCAAAACACACACTGTTATCAACCCCCTTCCAGCACTTTTTTAGCAACCCTAATTATCATTTTTAATTAGCACCTTTCATTCCAAAAATTGGTGCTGATGCAGAGCATGTTGTCTGAACAGCAGGGAAATGTTCACCACCATCTCTTGGCATTTCAGCCAAGAGCAGCAGCAGCCCCGGTGATGACAGCAAGCGCAGTTTCATCGTTTAGCTTGAAACAATATTTGATCACCCTCATAACTGTGGATTCAAGATTGTTAGGATTACAGTTATATAAGCCGACTGAATCGCAATCATATTTATCTCCGACAGAACCGATACCTGCAAAAATACTTAACCTAGTTGGTGAGAAAGTGAACTACATTTGTACAAAACAGGATCCCTTAGCCACTTATTCAGATCTATTTTAAAACCTTAAAAAGAATATATTAAGATGTCTTGTTTCTTCTAGTACACACATTGCAAGTAATGCTAATGTAAGCCAATCAAATGCCTTTGAATAATACACATGCAACAGATGTACAGGGTAAGAGGTTAACATGATTTTCTGCAGCTATTTGCTTCGTAGACTTCAGATTAAACTTTCTTTTTATTTTCAGCCTTCCATTAATGTTCCAGTTTGGCCTTTTGACAATTGTTTCTTCAGCCAGACACAGTGAACCTAGCATCTAAATGAAAACAGCAAACACATCTCTTTCATAACAATAGACGTCGCCTACTGTACGTCACAGTAATGTTTGCCCATAATTATTATCACAAAGGTACACGTCATAAAATGAATTGCAGCAGTAAGCAAAGTTTTCATACAAACATAAACAGCACTCACCTGTGATCTTTCCCAGGATAGGGACTTTCATCAGCATGGTTTGCTGGTTCATGTATAAGGTCTTTTTTTTCTAAATGCCAGTCATGCATGCCTATTTGAAGACCACCTCTCAATTGAATTGATTGATAAAAATCACAATTTTACTGGAGGCATTCAGAGAAACGCGTTCAGAGAAATGCTTTGAGTACTTCGCCGTAGGCAGCTGGATGGAAAGCCAAAGATCATCTTTTCATGGAATAAAACGGCATTCCTTCTGAATCTAACAAGCTGTGAATTGATTTGTTGTATTACACATTCAAAGTGGCCTGGAGTGTTCCTTACACTACAAAGAAATGCACATCGTGAAGAAATCTACTCTAGCTCAGGGATAAAGCACTTGTTTTATTGTTGATATTTGTCTCTGTATTCTTAGTAGACATGCAGCCGGGGCTTATGCGAGCTGTCAGCGCCGCTCAAGCATGATAAATAAAGTTGCACATGCTTTGTATTGTGTGCAGTGAAGAAGTCGCCCATGAATTACACTGACCTTGTCTCGCAGATTCCTATGCCAGACAGGAGGTGTGCACTGCCAAAAAGCCGCAGCAGTAATGGGATGTTTCTGCCAACACAATATGCTTCTATTCTCACGTGTGCTTCGTGTCACAGAGGGATATCGGTGATCAGTTTATCCCTTAGTCATAGAAGTAATCATCAGAATCTGAATACGAGGGGAATTATGTCAACAGTTGATCCATTAAGAATAAAATACAATAAAATGATCCAGTAAAATGTAAAAATATGTATAAAAAAAAGTTAAATAAAAGGTATTTAAAATAAATAATATAGACCTATAATATATATGTGATATAATAAAGATATGTTGCTGAATTGCACAGTGTATGATGGTCTGCTATAATTTAGAGCCGTTTGATATTGCACTGTAAGGTATTCATTTGTCTTCTACTGGTTAAAAATCTAACTTCTTTTCTAGGATTTCATTCATACCAGTTCCATAAGGTTGATTTATTCTCACGCTAGCCACAAGAAGCAGGAGATAACATCACTGTGCTTCAGCTTCAGAGTCTATTCTCAGAATCACATGCAAATTGTTTTGACTGTTACAGGATTGGCCTCGCAACGTCTGCTGACCGCTCTGACCTCCCCTCATATTGTTGTTTTGACTATTTCAACCCCTTTTCAACTCGGAAAATAATCAATCCAGTCCACTGACCCTTTTCAGAAGGCAAACAGACTTTGAATATGAAACTTGCTCATGTCGGATCTTACAAAAACAGATTTAATAAAGTTCCTTGGGACATGTGAAACCAAGCAATTGTTTCCTATGCAGTCAGCCTCCTGTGGGAAACCAGAAGACTGGGTTTCAGGTCAATTGTGTTTTCAAAGAATCCTGTTGGTTTTATTCAAGTTACACTGGACTGTGGCATCTAGAGAGTAAACACATTTACATATAGACAGCATTTTTTATTTATTCCCTTTGATCTGTTGACTGGAGGCTTTCATAGAGGTTAACTAACGCTTGAAAACAATATTATGCATTACAACTCAACAAAAAAATGTGTTATGTGAGGATACAGACTTCCATTTTTTTTTTTACCCTTTACTCTAGGATAGGGATGTAGTAGTACTGAAACAAATAGTTCAAAGAATATAAAAAAAAGAAAATGTTGACTATTCATTTAAATTTCTTAAATCAAACAAAATATAACTTAAAATACTTTTTTTTTTACATTTGAAGTCCTTAATCTAACCCTTAAACATTATTGTCTATAACCCCAGTATGCAAATTCTGGACATCAACCGTGTTTTCTAAAAGTCTGAAGTCCAATAATATGTATTACATTTAATGGGTTTTGGCCAAGTACACACGACAGGTAGAACCATCTTTCTGTCTTTTACTAAATTCCTGATAACACAGATTCTGGAAATACTGAACAGTGTCAAAACAACTGGCTTTTCAAGTCAAGCCCTTGCAGCTGTTGGATTACACCAAATCCTCGAAAATGTCAGTTTTCTAAAATTGCATCAAGCGCTCTTAAATCCAGCTGTTGCTTGAACCAGGTCAGGTGCGCAGCAGATGAATTATTTATCATGTGACCAGACTGCCCTCTTACTGTCCTCCATCTTAGTAAACCTATCCAGGCTTGAGCTAGGGAGGAGATGAGGGTTCGGTATCTCATCCAGGAGTAATGGATCATATGTCACAGAGACAGAGAGGCTGGTGCATGCTAAGAGGCGGGCACAACGTTTCCCCCCTCGCCAAAGCCAACTTCTGACTGATAGATTTTCGCAGAGCCAAGGACCCTCGATCAAACCTGGGACCCTTCACTGCACAAGACCTTAGGAGAGAGGAGATGCGTATTCCTCTCACACACCTCATTTTTTTTCCAGAGAAATGCTCTTTCACCACAGGCCATTTTCTATGGAGCATCACTGCTGTATGATCTAAGCAACCTTTAGATCATACAATAATGGGAAAAGCAGATAAACATGTTGCAAGACAAGATTGCCTTCCACAACTTGGGGCAATAGGGCTCCTGTAGGACTATTAAATGGAACAAAGCTCATCTATATAGACGCTCAGCAGCAGCGATTCACAAACAGTCACACACAACCTTAAGGCTTTCTATAAATGGGTCTCCGTCCTGATACATTTCTCTTATCCTGTAGATGGAATTCTTTTTTTCCTTTTTGCTGAACCTTCTCCACCCAAGGCAGATGAACACAAATGATATCTAAAAACTCATTCTCATATCTACTGCTTTTATGAAATCAGAGGCTGCAGAGCACTACTATTCAAAGGATTTAAAGGCTAGTTTTGGTCATCTTAAGTCTTCTTCTCCGAGAATGCAACATATATCATACTTAGCATAAAAAAGGGCAATAGACAAAATGTTGCCGGTAAGGAAAATGCATACAAAGAAGATAGAATACACCAAACATAATGATAAAGCAAATATATCTTAGTGCAAGGTTCTGCAACCTTTTTGACCAAAAGAGCCATTTTGCCCCCTTTTCCACACATTTTTTTTGTCTGGAGCCGCAAAACATATTTGATAGCTTGATTGCTTATCAAGTTGAATATAATGTTACATCATAGACAAAAACTACAGTTTTTTTGCAGTTATTATTTATTACATTATAGAAAACTGTTTACCTCTAATAATAAACAAAGAACTCTTATAAGGAGAATTAAAAAAAATACACAGGCCTACTTTAAAATAAATCAACACAGCACCTGTCCTCTGCACATTTGAAGAAAATGAAGATAATTCAAATGGGCCCACTTTGAAATAAATATAAGATATAGCTGCACCCTAAAAAGAGTCAACTGATTGAATTATGACTGAAGATCGTCAGCTGTCTTCGTCTTCCGTGTTTTTCCTCCGATACGTAAAGGCTGCAGCACCTTTGACAACTTCTCTCCACATATCAAACATACCGGTAAGCCAGCATCGTTTGCTGTGAAAGCAGATAACTCTGTCCACACTCTTTGTTCCTCCGATACTTTTCTTTTCTTTGATGTATCCACAGTTCGCTCATCGAGCCGGGGGTCAGGTTATTCGCCTGCAAGAAAAGGCGCTGACGCGGCACCGTAGCAGGACGTGACGCATATTTTAGTTGACCTAATTAAAACCGTTTTGTTTTTTACTTATGTGTCACAGTATCACCTCAAAATACAAGATACAAAACATTTTCAACATTGCAACAAAATATAAAAAGTCCTACAAATATTTGTATTTTATTTCCTTCTTATTTTTGTCTAAGCTCAAGGGAGCCAGAGTAGAGGGCTTAAAGAGCTGCATGCGGCTCGAGAGAGTGTAATAAAACGTTCTTATTATTAAAACCTATTGTATTACCGTAATAAAATGAGAATGTTCAGACTCTTCTGTTATTGTTTGTGTAAAGTGATTCTTTCCTTTCTGTTTCAGGAAACCTCCAGATCTGGGAGCGGCCGCCACAAGAGGTGAGTCTTTTTTATTTTTTTATTATCCGGACACTTTAGGCTCAGTTTATCGGCCTCAGCATCACTAGTAATGTGTCAGGAGGCAGAACAGAGGCCGGGATGAGAAACACACTTTGAGTCATTAATTACGAGGGCAGATTCCCTCTGAAGGGGTCCGAAGCCCTTTTGCTGATGTTGTCACCGTGGATCTTTTGCCTCCCTGCTGCTCTTTTCATGTTTAATGGCTCAAGAAAGAGGCCTTTTTTTGACATATTTGAACAGTGGTTGACAGGACACCATCTGGACCTCCTAACCACCATTTGTTCACTGCGTATCTGGTAGGGTGTTTTGAAGAAAAATCATTTTCTTTGAAAGGATTGGAGTCTAAAATCTGTGCTTCATTTCGGCCAAGATTGCTTTACAAGATTGCACTTGATAAGGGGCTTTCAAACTTCAAAAAGATTGATGCTTGCACCAACAACTCCTTCTTGACAGATTTTTTCTTTTGATTTCATAGAATTTACTGTAGAAGTTTTGGCAGAGAGCACAGAAATGTTTGACGAAATGAAATCTGCTTTCATCTGCTTCCATTATACTTCCCTACAAATTAAATAGGAGAGACTAAACTCTTGAAGAAAATTGTAGTAATTAGATGCAGCCTCACAATGCAGCCTGTAACACACGAACATTTTAACAAGTGTTGAAGTCTTTTTGAGAACATTGGCGTGTCCAGCATGAATTTATTTAACTTTTTTTTGTTTTCGTGAATCTGGCCAAACAACAAAGTTCGGCAGCTGACATTCAGTCTGGCCTGTAGTCATGGCGGCTGCTCTCCTCAGCTGGCCCGGCTTCACATGGACGCTCCACAGTTCTGCAGCAGAAAACCCGCCAGGTGGGCCGGGCAGCACCAGAAGTCTGACAGAGCAACTTTATCGATACGTGTCTAACTAGAATTGACCCTCTTTTCGAGCCTCTCCTGCTTTAGTCCCTTTATCTTGTCTCTAGATTCAAGACATTCATCTGAACAGTGGGTTCATACTCTCCACAAAAACACCCTTTGTAATCAAATGTAGCTTTTTGTGCAGCTCTGATATATCCTATCATTTGTTTTATATTTATTTAACCATATCTCCCGTTGATATATTGATATGAACTGCACGTTTTTATCATGTCTTACTTATTTCAAACCAACTTTTTAACTGATAATATACATGTTTTGGGACCATTTAGTAGTTAGGGTTGGTTTAGTTTTGATGGTATTTGGTTAGAGTTAGGTGTTTTTAGCTTATACACGTTTCTGTATAATACATGAACTCCCCTATTCTCAACTCCAGCTTACAGTGTATCTGGCTTTCCAATTTGCAATACCTCAATTATGTCTGTATTATTCTGCTTGAATGTTTAACCCTTTGTGAACACAATTTGGAGATAACTTGAGGCATATTCAAAAAGAACCCCTAGATATATAAAACCTTTAGCATAAAGCTGCTTAATTCCAGAGCTAAGACAGAGAAGGGTCAATAGATGATCTAGAAGTAAACCTAGTACTGCTTAATAAATAAGAAATATATAATCGTCATGATTTTTGTTGAAATCAAATTCTATTGAAATACCTAGGAATTCACATTGTCTGCTTTTTCTGCAGATGTATATGTTTGATAAAACGAATTGGCTCATGCTGCTTATTAGCTTTTCAACCCTTTTTTCTGTGTTTCCTCAATTGATTAGCTAAACTATCTACCAATCATACCTCATCTTGAATAGTTCGGGGGCGTGAGATATTGAAGTCTTACAAACCAAAATACACCTGGGCCAGCCCTGCCTACTTAACTTAACTTGAAATCTCAGCAGCCATTGAAATAAAAAGCAGTGGCTGGCATGCACTTGCAAGCCTCCAGCGATAAATTACAATCATTTTATACAAAGGGTCGTAGAGATATACTGTAAGCGATTACTTGAGCAGCTCAAAACAGCTCTGAATTGCTTGATGTTTTCTTTATTTTTAAGGATTGGCCTGTATCGGGGTGAGGCGGGTTGTTAATCTGTTGTTTCAGTGCTGCGTGTCGAGGTTTCCAATGTCGTTTTTGAACAAATTGACACTTGAGTTTGTAGGAGACATAATTCTACCTGTGGCTGCTCCTGTTATTCACTCTCCTGTCTGAGCTTTCTCCTCTCCCCCCCCGCTGAGGCTCCCGAGGGCGCGTGATTGGCTCAGCCTCTCTCTCCCCCAGACCTCACGCTGCAGGGTGCTAATGGGCCGCGGTGTGATATTTAGTTTCGAGGCCATGGATGTTTAGGCTTAGCTTCATCACCTGCTGTGTGTTGTTTGTGTGTGTGTGCAAACAAGGAGATTTTTCTTGAATCACGATGACATGCAAGGATGTTGGCACGCATGCCATGCCATTGTGGCTTTTTTTCAGCCTCATGGAGAGGGGAAGCACTCGTCGTCACGCTTTGTAATGTATACGTGTTTGTCCATGCAAAAGCGGTTTGCATGTGTGCTCGTGCCGATAACGACTACCCATGAAGACTGCTTGAGAGAGACAAATAATACACACGTTATCTTGGCGTAGGCGAGAGCCAAGGAGAGCGTTTCAAGGACTCCCTCTTGATCATAAATGATGTTCCTGCACTGTGTGGCTCTCTGTAAAAATAAGCAAGAGAAAGCCGTTGGTCCTGTAAATGTCACGAAACTGAAAAATGCCACTTTTGCTTGTGTAGTAGAAATGCCACAGTAGCCTCAAAGAGGACGTAAACTGAGAGAGGGGGAGTCAAGATTTTAATTGTATGTTTACATCATGTGGCTTTTGTCTCAAAACCAGGAATCCTATATTCGCCCAACGGCGGGGAAATTTAAAATGTTGCTCCAGATAAAAGGCAAAATAAAATTAATAGACCAACGTATTAAAGGAAGAGGTCTATAACAATATACAGTAATACATCGAACAATCAAATTGATTCGCTGTACGTTTTTGTCCACAATAAATATTTGTTTGATATTTTTGCCGTATGATTTAAGAGGGAATGATAGTTTCATAATTCTAATATTTATTGAAAATCATTTAATAGATCATGGTGTGATTTTTCTTTTCTTTCTTGCAGGATCTGTTCAAAACAGTTGTTTTTTTATGTCTCTAGAATATTATTTGTAGACCAAAGTACTTTGTAAAGTTGTCTAATAATGGGAACATCGTAGTTGGCAGATCCTGAAAAGAATGCAGATTGTACAAAGGAGTTATATTTGTCCTTTGTCTTGAAATATGCAGACAGCCCCCTTCAGACAACCCAGTGAAGCCCACTGACGTACAGAATCATTTCATTCCCAGGGAGGTTTTATGAACCTGGCACAATGAGTTGGTAGTTGTGTATTGGTGGGTGCAGAGCCAGCAACTCATTCCAACTTTCCACCTCAATAATTATTGAAATAAGGTCAGTAAGAAAATATACTGCGACTGAATATTCTTTCCTCGCTGCCCCGCAATCCGTCTCTAAGTAGCGAGAAGGTGAAGAGGAGATAAGGTTAATGTTCTGCTCGAGCTCTTGTTTTTTCCCCACAAGCTTAAGAACAGTGACGCACGAGTGGCCACCGCCATTCTTGAGCCTATTTGAAGTTGTAATATGTAAATTGTTTCTTAACCAGAATCCTTTTTGCACCAACATTTCAAATCCTTGACGGCCTTTTCTCTCAATAATGGAATAAAAGGCACGGGGTTGTTAATAATGCACGTCTAATTGAAAGGGCATGCAGAAAATGTTCCCACCTGTTCTTTTAATGATGGATGTGTCATCATCCATCCATCCATCTTCTCCCGCTTACCCGTGGTCGGGTCGCGGAGGTAGCAGTTCCATGTGTCATCATATTAAAGCTTAATCGTGTGGCTCTGATTCCTACCTTTAAACCGTGTGAATACGGTATTGGACAATTTAAATAGTGGGAATAGCCACAACTTGCCAAAGAAAGGTGATGTTCATTTCTCACATTGCAGATTTTGTTACCTTAACTCTTAAATAGAATTCAGTTAGATGGGCACACTTTTAGGATTGAATGTAGAGAAATATATTCCTAATAGGTGTGAGAGCTCCTCTCTGCCATCAGGAGAAATATATGTTGAAGAGAAATAGCAAGCATAGTATATTTGTGTAGGATGGAGTGGTTGGGTGGGTGGTGGACTATGGAGTGGGTGGGTAGGTGGGTGGGATGTAGGATAGAGGGATTGGATTGAATTAATCCAAAATGTTGTGCAACCTGAATTGTGTTCTGTACTGTGTTGTAAATTGAAGATGTTGCAATAAAAAATGTATGATAAAAAAAATAAAGAATTCAAAGTAAAAAATAAATAATTGAGCATTTGAGTTGCATCTAATGTTGTACTTCTGTTTTTGTGTGTTTGGAACAGCTCTCCAGGGCCGGGTTCTGAGGAGGAGGCGGGGGGGAACAGCAGACAGCGACACAACCGTCACACCAGAGATGAGACTTTAGTGAAGAGGATGGAGGAGCTGGAGGCGGTACGTCTTCTGACCCTGGGGTCATATCACTGCTCGGTTCCACTCATTTTCCACAGACACTCAAGACACTTACATTGTGTTTAAAGGAATAGACTCAGTTTATTGTCGTTTGATAGTTCACTTCATAAAGGATGCTATTAGACTTAAAACACAAACATCTTTGCTGATGGAAAGGTGAGTAAGTGTTGGCCATCTTATCTTGGTCCGGATGAGTCAGAATACACACTTTTGTCAGGTTTGATCACCTCCCTGCTGTGAGAAGGTCAGTGCTGTTGTTCTTGAGGGTTTGATTGATATTTATCGGAACATTTTGCACACTTGCTGATTATTTTTTAGTTATTACTTTGGCTAATGCGTTTCAGTGATTCATACCACCAGTTCTTCCTGCTGCTTTTAAAAAAAATTATGTTTAATTACGATGGAATAAGAACAAACTGTTCTCTTTAATCACATTTTCTCTCTGTTCTTTTTGAATTAAATTATAATCCATAGTTTCAAACAGATGGCAAATGAGCAACTCATTACATGTATGCCACGTTGAATCATTTTTTAAAATTATATAAATATTCTTTTAAGTTCTCCATTTTCTTAACTTTATTTCCCTGCACTAAGGTGTGAAAGCTTATTCGTGATTCAAAGCATATACGTGTGTGAAGCAATACAGATGTTCTTTACATAGATATCATTTATAACATTCGAACATATTTCATTCAAAAATATGTTTTATGTGTTATTCAAAGTCCGCTGCATGTCTGAAAATCAATACTGAGGAGATGTACAGAGCTGCCCTGACATGAACAAAAACATTTCTTCTTTGAACATGCTTTCTTGTGGTGTTTCATTCTCTTCCAATGTGTTACCGTCAAGGTGTCAGATTCACCCTTGAAATAGAAATCCAACCGAAGAAATCTCAGCAAGTGAAAGCAGACCTGAAGAAGCTGATGTTCACTGGGTTTCCTTCCTCTTTCTCGCTGTGTGTAACCAAAGCTAAATCAACCCCAACCACCACGGAAATATAAAATCACAGAGGAATAATCCGTTATATATGCCTTAACTTCCAAATCCTATCAACTTTTCATTGCCTTTTTTTTTGGAAAGTCCATCCCCAGTTCTGAGAGCCTTTAACAGCTGTTCGGTAGAAATGTCACTTTGAGACCTTTGATCGGTTGCCTGAGTTGTGATTTATAATGGCTGGAAAGTGTGGCTCAGAAATCCTCCTCAGTGTTGTTGAAGCGATGACCTTTTACATTGCAGATATGTCTTTTCCTCCTACACCACTCTGATCTGACACTCAACCCCTCACTGCTGCCACTGCAACAAAAAAAATCTCGAAATAAAATGTCACTTGGGTGGCTTTCGGAAAAAGCTTTTTAAAGTAAGAACTGCTTTGACCTCAGAGTAAAAGCTCTGGAATCATTTCTAAAAAACCATTTCATGCACTTATTTTTGTGCATTGTGTCCTCGGGCGGGGGTGGGGTATGACGAAGGTTAGCTCGCATGACAATTCTTGCCAGGTAAATCTCTGAGACTCCAGCCTGCAACGTTAAATCCTTAGACATTGCTTACATAAATCAAACAAGTACCAACATGAACAGTATGTTTGATCTTTAGAAACTATATTTCTCACAGTGAAACCTGTTCTACAAAGCCAAATAATATCGGACCACAACCCAGAGTGGAAGGAAAGTCACATGGCAAGATCAGATGAGCTCAGGTTTATTATAGGTTTACACAGGAATTTACTTCGGAGCATACGTTAACATATTAAGAGGAATTAAAGGGGCCCTATTCTGCTCATTTTCAGGTTCATAGTTGTATTTAATGCCTCTACTGTGACATGTTTACATGCATTAATGTTCAAAAAGGGCTTTTTTTTTCCTTCTCATGCCTGTGCTACAGCACCTCTTTTCACCCTCTGTCTGAAACCAGAGCCGCGTCTGCTCTGATACATGTAGCTGGCAGCTCTTTGGTGATTGAGCACAAGCCAATAGAAACCAATGATGTCACTATGCAACAGAGGTAAACAAAGGAGTCCAATGGAGGCGTTTCAGGTTAGCTAGGTACAGTTCGTCCGTGCAACTTGGCCGTCGGCTGAAGTCTTTGCGGTGTGTTCCAGTGCGAAACACGTGCAACTTGGCCGTCGGCTGAAGTCTTTGCGGTGTGTTCCAGTGCGAAACATGGCCAAGACGCAGGAGACGTGAGGCGACGTTCTGTCGGGACGTGTTCTTTGGTGTGTAAGAGGCTTTAGAGAAACTCCCTCTGAATGGAACATTTTGTGACCATTAACAAAAACCTAAATAACACACTACATGGAAGGGAAAAGCATAATAGGGCCCCTTTAAGTTGTTCAGACAAGGACATGTGTTACGAGTCTTTTTAAAAACACACAAAAATATATAAGAGTAAATGTTTACTAGAAATATAAATATACATAAAAGTAAGTAAATAAAACAAGAATATGACATAAAATAGTTATCATTCTCTCCCTAACATACCAACTCTTTGAAGCTAAGTAGTATCTAACCTCAACCTTGTTGTGAGGACATTTCATAGAGCCAGGTCACATGACACATTCAGAGAGAAACAGCTAATATACATTTGGCCTGCGTTACTATTAAGGAGTACATGAGATGTATGTTCTTATACTGCAAAGCTGCATTTATCAGTAGTTCCTTTTTAAAAACAAGAATGAATAGAGTTTGCGGTTGTATTTATGTCCCCTACATTAATGCTTTGTACTGCAGAGAGATGCCAGACCTCCTCTACTCAGGATTTGATTATAATATTCTAAACCACATCCCCGAAAAACCTTTTAAAACATGTTATTTTGAGTTTTTCCTTTCAGTCAGCAATGCCTCAGTGAAAGTGTTTTGAAACTGACAATAACAGTTTCCAATAAAACTGAAATAATTACAGTTTTAAGTAATTGTTTGAACCTTTTCCTCTGTAAAAAATATCTATAATTGATGTAATCATGTTGCCCGTGTGTTTCCAGGAGCTGGTCAGAGAGCGCCAGGAGAACGAGCGGCTGCTGAAGGCTCACGAGGACAAAGACGACCTCATCGGGAAGCTGAAGGAGGAAATCGACCTGCTGAACAGAGTGAGTCCAGTGGTGTCTGATATTTTGAGCGCTCCTTTGTGGTTTCATGTGTGGGCGGCCTGTGTGGGTTGAACATCATCATGTGGCATTTTAGTGCACTTTTCTATAAAAGCTTTGTGTTTTTCTACACTGATTATTTATTAGACACAAACAAACAGTTATGTTTGGATCTACACACTTACACGATGACAGCACATATTTTACACAGAGGCATTGTATGTGCAATTTGGATTCTGAAAAGCTTACCGGAGGTCTGATGACATTTCAGCCTCATACTGTAGTTACTGCCTCCCAGTGTTGCATGGAACATTAATGTCTTTTTCAGTTCTCCACCAAAAACGAATGTGCTGCCTGGTGGATACAAATCTCAGATTGTACATCTCAAGCTAATCTGAAATATATATCTATCTTTTTGTTTCATTAGGCAGTTCACCTCCCAGGGTGTTTTGACAGATCCTTTTGGTGAATAAATCAAAGAAAGAAAGAGATGGATGTGTAAGAAAGTGTGCAGTGGCAGCTGAAGGCACCGTATTTAACACAGTCTTCAACTTTAAAAAACAATCTTTTACTTTTTCAGTGCTGTGAGGTCTCTCGCTCTACTTTCATTTGATTCACCCTCAGGCAGTGTGTTTTATGGTACACTCAGAACTAGCTTACAGTTTTCATAGTGTGCAACATTCAGAGAAGTGAATTCAAACCTCACATTCAGTAAGGTAAAGCCTCCAACTCATACTTGCCAACCCTGCCGATTTTCGCAGGAGACTCCCGATTTCACTGCCCTCTCCCGGTTTCCTCCCGGGGTCATATTTCTCCCACATTTCTCCCGATTTCTGACAAAATCATATTTACTCACGACTCTTTCCACTCGGACTTTAACACAGCTACACCATTGTTTGGTTTCTATGGTAGCGCATCTCTTTAGCAGCGCGCACAACTCAAAGTCTGAGAGGGTGAGGTGTCACAGAAAACTGAACAAGAATCGACAACTCGACCCTCTGCTCACTCCTTTCCTGATCCGCTAGCATTTTTTGCATTTTAGCAAGTTTAAAAGAATCTGACAGAAAAAGGGGAAAGCATACAGAAATCTAAAAAAATGGTATACTAGTTTTATTTCTCCATGAATTAGTCATTATGCATTATATTATTAGTAACAATTATGAATTATTCTTGGTTTAAGAATAACCTTTGTGACCTACAATATGAAGTATATTTATTTTTTCATTATGCATTACTTGCATTTTAAGAAATGATATTGTTACAGGTCGTACACAACAAAATGAAATAAACAAATGTACTTTTTAGCATCTCTAAAGAACAACATAGCAGGGGAAATAAAACTCTTTCATCTGTAATGTCCCGAGAACAGCAGCTAGTCCAATAAACGTTGCTGGGTTATTATCTCGCCTCTTCAGTCCTCGTGATACACACTGCAACCGCTCTGCAAACACTGAGTGCAATATTGCATCCCGCTGATAGCATCACAGGGACAGGAAGCTGGTCCGAAGGAGAAGGCCTTTATGTAAGGACGGTAAACGTGGTGATAGCCATCAGAAATGGCCCCAAGAGAGGCCCCCCGCAAGGCCTGATGGGAAAGCAGGAGATAACAGCTGATCCAGTCTCTGTGCAGAGGAACATTGAAGCCTCTGTGAAGTTTATTTGGAAGAGAAAGAAAAGATAACTGCTGGACTTAAATCTCTTTCTCTTCATACACTGTGAAGAGAGAAGTCCTGCTCTCATCCCACATACACCAGTGTGATTCAATCTCTCTTCATAGTCAGTGTGTACATTCAGTTGAAGGCAGAGCAAAGTTCTACTCTATACACATTTTATTTGAGCTACCGAAAAGAAATTCCAAACTAATTATTGTTTGATTTTTGGCCACTTGGAGCAGTGAAAATATGGTGTAGAAACAACATAAATACAAATTGATAAGCACAACTATTAACACATTCAGTAGATTAGGAGGAACAGTATTCTTAGTTTGAAACACCGTTTGCAACCCTTTGCTGAGTGTAAATCCAATATTCTCTCTTTCTACCACTGTTTTGGTCTCACTAGCTACACGCAGTGTGAGCAGGTAGTAAACAGTGGGTTTTGACATGAGGTCAAAGCAGTGAGGATAAACCAAAACAGTACAATTGCAACCCAGATCACCAAACAACTAACTGAAGCTCATTTTAAGACGCCATAAAGCCAAGGAGAGCCTCAAATTCAGGTAATACCCCTCTATAGGTTCACCACTACAATCTGCATCTTTCACATCGTCACATTGTTATCCCACGAATATCCCTTATGGCTGCCTTAAACACAAAGGTCTGAAACTCTTCCTTACACCACTCGGCAGCATGACGACACTCTGACCTCCTCAGTTTGACTTTCTCTCTCTCTGTGCAGTTGATCTCGTCTCAACAGCCACGATCATGATCAGTGATGGAAGAAAACAAATATAAGGAGTGTCACAACCGAGAGCCTTTCTCATTTCTACTAATTAGAGCTGCTAATGTCTCATTTGTTGCCATTAAGGCTGGCTGTAGGGGGGGGGGGACCACGCAGCAATAACGCCAGTCTATTGACTCGGAGCGTAAGGCACTCCGAGTCAATAGACGGGCACTAGAACATACTTTACCCTCTTCAACTGTGCAATTCATATTCAAATTGAAACTAGTTCACCGCTGTATACAGTATATTGTTTATTTACATGCTATATATAGAAGTACAAAGTGCACATTTTTACCTTAATTTCTATATTCATATTTTCATTCTATTTTTGTATTTTATTTAACATTATACTTAAACGTCTTCTATTCGTATACATATCTTTATTTTATTTTATATATGTTATCCTTATATTGCACAACCTTACTTAAACATCTTACATTTATAAACTGTACATATTTGTATAATTGTTTTGACATTACACCTTAATGTCTTTTTTGCTTGTATAAATATCTTCATTCCATTTAAATGTATATTATTTTATGACTAACTGAGATGTTTATATCAATAAATATATATATTTGTATTTTATTTAATAAAAAAGTGGAGCAACTGTGAAAAACCCCATTTCCCCAGGATGAATGACCTAATTCTAATTGTGATTATTTAACACTCACCTGGCAGGAGGTTGTTGTGAATGTTCTCTTTAAATGATACAGAAAGTATTAACCCGGTTTTACCTTTTTTCCTCAGGACCTGGATGACATCGAGGATGAGAACGAGCAGCTGAAAGAGGAGAACAAGACTCTGCTGAAGGTGGTGGGTCAGCTGACGAGGTAGAGACCACCCCCCTGAAGATCTGCTTCCTCCTGACCCCCTGCAGCATGTCCTTAAATCAGTTTGATTCTGTCTCTGTGTGTAAGAGGTGAAACTGTAAAGTAGAGGAGCCTCACAGTGTACATCCCCCCGAGGAGGATTTATCCCATTGGTGGTGAAGGCTGAGTGAACTAGAGGCAGTCTCACGGGAGGCAGTCTCACGGGATTGATTGTCATCGTATACATATTTAATGTAAATGTATTGTATATAGGCCATTTAGATAGTTCATTTTGGGGGGATATGTGTTGATAAGGTCTATAAAAGCAAAGGTAAAATGAATGTATGTGCTCAAAAACAAGTACACAAAGTCTTTTGAAACTTGTATAACGGTTTAATGAAAAAGCTTCGGTAATCACAGCCGTCACCCAGGTAACATGAAATCTCCAGTGTTATTTCAGTTAAGAGCAGTTTTATCAGTGTAACAATGGAGCTTCTTTTGAGGACCAAATTCAACATCAATACTACTGTACCGTCAGCCAAAGTCTCGCAATACATATCAGGGTATTCTGACATTTCTATCCAAAATTTTTTTTGAAAGCCTGGTGCTATCTAATTGAACATGAGTGCTAGAGTTACTTCCATCCAATCATTTCTCGTTAGACTAAATTCCAATTTCGAAATCTACAAATGAAGAAAATTGTATTAAAAAAATCATTCCAGTTTTAACGTTACCAAGACTTTATATGAATCATGTGCTTTGCGCATTTCATTCCTAACATCTGAGTATTATACTTGTCCTGGGGGTGTGAGCCTTCTCGGTGTGTGGAATCTTTTTTTAAAGCTCTCTGTAATTGGTTTACAAGTTATGTCTTTGCAATATTTGATAGGCTGCTCTGTTTATGGCATCTAAGATGTGCATTTTTGTGTGTATGATAACCAAATGAACTGAAGGAACATACTATTTGAAATGCATCTCTTTTTGTTTACTCAAGGGAACAGGCTTGGCTGGTCGTGGCATTTAACTTTCTGTATTTAGATCCTTTTTATTCCACGGAGGAGCAAATAATCTGTAGGTTTTAGAAGGCTCTGCTTCCACAAATATCACGTGTTTTGGGGGTAGACGCAATCCCCTCCGCAGACAGTCATCACAGATCTCTTTCCATGGCATTATGCATGTACAGAAGATTAAGTCATTTAATAAAAGTTTGATTATCTCTCAGTCGACTCGCTTCTGTTCATTAAGACTAATTTGATGTGATGATACCATGCCACTGAGTCGCTAATGCAATGTGACGGTGGCGGGGGGCTCAGTTCCTCTGCCTAACACACACACACACACACACACACACACACACACACACACACACACACACACACACACACACACACACACACACACACACACACACACACACAGTTATGATGATTCAACGTGCCAATCACCATCCTGGGACAGAGAGCTCCACAGAAGCTGTATTAGCTTCTGAAATGCAGTAATTCCCTCACCTGGCAGGACTAATGTCAACTAGATCTCCAGATAATGGCCTCTTTCAGCTGCAGGCTCTCTCTATCATCCCTATTAGCATTTTTATGAAAAGTTGTATAGGGTCTGTCATTTGGAGGGCGATTCATATCTGTCTCTAGTCACAATGGGCTTCTGGTTGGCTCCTTACGGCAACATCAAGACATCCTATAGAGTTCAGAGAGCGTCTGATCAATCAGGATTCTAGTTCCACTGGGTGGGAGTGTGTTTTGAAGAGTGGATCTCTCTTTTTGTTTTGGATGGTTGCAAGAAAAGCCATGTATGTATGAGACTTTTTTTCATATTGTAATCTTGTTTAGTGTGAAGAAAGCATTAGACGCATAACATAATCCTTCACTCAGGAAGTTCACTTTACATTCTAAATAACTTTACCACTTTAAATTAATCAAAACTAAATGATGTGTAGCTTTGAAAGGCATACCTTTTATTAGAGATGTCCCGATCCGATCACGTGATCGGGGATTGGAGCCGATCACGCGATTTTCAAAAGATCGGAATTGGGAGAAAAAAAAATCGGAGATCGGGATTTAAAAAAAAAGAAAATGTATAAATACTTTTTTTTTAATTTTGTATTCAATGTTACAAAAAAAAAATGACCATGTTCAAGTCTTAAAGTCATCCTGAGGACTTAGTTTTGGTTTCAAATTACACAACATCATGTATGTGTTGCTTCTTTGGGGCTTGTTTTCATAGACCTGGTTGCTTATTTCTCTCAAATCTGGCAACAGAGTGGGCGCAGTGTCTAATTGTAGCAGTAAGCTAACGAGTACTGAAAGCTTTATTTTGTTTTGATCCAACGCTGCACAACTGAACTGATCCAATGCTGCTGTGAAAGAAAGAAGCTATATCCATGTTGGATAGAATATCCAATTTGAATTAAAAAAATAACCTTAAGGGACAACTTGAATGCTTTTTTTTTTTTTNGAGCCGATCACGTGATTTTCAAAAGATCGGAATCGGGAGAAAGAAAATCGGGGATCGGGATTTTTTAAAATTTAAAAAAATTTTTAAATACTTTTTTTTAAATTTTGTATTCAATGTTACAAAACAAAAATGACCATGTTCAAGTCTTAAAGTCATCCTGAGGCCTTAGTTTTGGTTTCAAATTACACAACATCATGTATGTGTTGCTTCTTTGGGGCTTGTTTTCATAGACCTGGTTGCTTATTTCTCTCAAATCTGGCAACAGAGTGGGCGCAGTGTCTAATTGTAGCAGTAAGCTAACGAGTACTGAAAGCTTTGTTTTGTTTTGATCCAATGCTGCACAACTGAACTGATCCAATGTGAAAGAAAGAAGCTATATCCATGTTGGATAGAATATCCAATTTGAATTAAAAGAATAACCTTAAGGGACAACTTGAATGCTTTTTTCTTTTTTCTCTTAGTGCATTGCATAAAGATCGGATCAGGAAAAATCGGTATCGGCAAATTGTCCAAATCAAATGATCGGAATCGGATCGGGAGCAAAAAAAGGTGATCGGGACATCCCTACCTTTTATACGATATAATAAACCATTAATGTTTAAATGTATGCGGCTATTTCCTATTTACGTCAGCATATTAGGGCTTTATAAAAAAGAAATGGAATATTTTCTCTGATTAATGTGGTACATTTACATAAGAAAACGTATGTAATGAGAAAAATGTAACTTATTTTTTCTGTGACGTTATGAGCTCATAGGTTTACTTTACAAATAATCAAGTTGTCTGAAATTAAAGTCCCACATTAACCAGAACAAATATATATTTTTCTCATGGAGACACATCGCTCCATATAAGGAGGTGCATCAGTATTGGACATAAAGATATCCTTCATTTTTTTTTGCAAGTTTAGCATGAAATAGTATACCAATGATTGAACATTTAGAATACCTTCTTTACTGTGATTAAGTTGTGTGTTAGGGTGACCCATGTACTCCTGTCTGATGAGCATGTGTTGATATCACTTCATGATGTGCTACAACCCTCCTGTCAACCACTTAGTGGCAAAACAAGCCTTATATGGGCGCAGTGGAGTCAAACCATCATGTTCCTGACATTCCAGAAAGTAAATAGCCTGTGGACATTGAATCATGGCTTCCTGACACATTCATCCTTTGAGACCCCACTCAACAGTTAGACATAAAACAGCTGACAGTAACTAAACCACTCAACATCTGAAACAAAATGGCAATACCAAAATTAAAACATTGCTTTAATATATTTGCTTATTTTGTTGTGTGCCTTTGTTAGTTAAATGTGTCCTCCAAAATCCACCAATCCGCCATTTTCCTTTCTGTACCATCTAAGCCACACTTACTTTGTTTTGCTGTATGGTGTCATGCAAGGATAAGCATGTGTCCAATCTAGTTTGTTTCTGTATGTTCTGCTGTGAACAGAAAGGTCTTCCTCCTCCTCAGATCCTGAGAGGCTGATAGCGGGACACAGATGAGAGGCAGGCCTTATCTCGTTCTTGTTGAGACCCGGCCATATTTCATTATCAGTAGCTCTCGTGCTCCTGATTCTCCGGCCAATCTCCTCCATCTCCAGGGTCTGTGGTGCGGGGAAGAACTCATCCACACGGAGAATAGCGGGGGTCAGAAAGAGGACTGGACATATTTGTTCAATTTCCTCTGCACTATTCCTCATGCTCCACTTTGCCACAGCAGCCTATTTTTTATCTGAAAAAATGCACCTCATTATCTCCAAACTAAGTGATATCTGAGGTGACACTTTGAAGGCGAAACCAAATTGAAGTGTCCTGGGAGGATGGGGAATGATTGCGTTCAGACCCCTCATCCCAAGTCATAATGTCACACTGTACCTCCAGCACAATCACTTTCAAGTAAGTGTGATTCCTTCTTCTCGCCCCCCATGAAAGTGCTTTTTGAAATCCCGCTGCCACTGCCGTTTTCCTGAAGACAAACAGCGACAGTGCCGGAGCTGAAACTGCAATAACGAGACTTCAGACGCCTCGCATGCACTTCCCTCCACACCTGGACCACATGTGGATCTGCCCTTTGTTGAAATGCCCTGTAAAAGTCAATGGCATACTAACAGAGTTCACAAACTGAGAGGAATCAACTAATGGCTCTCCAAAGGTGTGACATTTACAAAATGGCATAATTTAACTCTTCAGACGACATACTGAATAGGAGGACAAATGGGTTTTTATTCACCAGAAAGGATAATAAAACCGCTTGTTCTTCCAGAAACATAAATGTAAAAAGATAATGCTACATTGCTTTTGCTTTATTATAAGCCAGGATGTAGTAGTTTTAAAGGCTTTATTCCATTTTCAGCCCATTTAGAAGACATTTTGACGAGTGACTATTACTTTATCCGGCAGCCATTGCATTATCAGGTGCTCTATGGCACATCCAAACAGTTTCTATCCGCACCATTTTATCACCACGATTACATAAACATCCCTCTTACTGTATACCCTAAAAAAAGGGATCTGTTTGAGATGGTACAAACCCATATTCTGCTCCTGTGGTGCATTGGTTTGGATTTTATATCTATATTCCATCTTCTGTTTTTAAGTTTAGACCAGGGTTTTCCAAACATTTTTCACTGAGGGCCGCATACAGAAAACATATATGAAGGGCTGGGCCCCTAAAGGTGAGGCATATCGCCTCATAAGTTAAGTTATAAGTTAGCTAAATCAATCAAATGAAGTTCAATTAGGCTAGATACTTGAATATGCTATCACAGCTCTCCATAGGGTTTCATTTATTTTGTTACAAAAAGTGTTGCAGCTCATTCCTTAACTCAGAAGCCTCAGATTGCTTAAAGTAAGAGGAAATACGAAGGGTATATTTGAAGCTTACTATATGAATAATTTATTAGGCTTTTTTTATCAACTAAGATTGACTGAATTTATTTGAAAAACTACGCTTAATAACAGGTGATTACTGGATAATATATATTTTACAAGTACAACATAAGGCAAGCACACGTTTCATGTGTGGGCCATTATACTTTTAGAATTTGCTGAGGGCCATTTCAAAATGAACAACAACCTCTGCTTTAGACTAACTTTTTCTAGTGGATTCTTGTCCATTGGGCTTGAATAAAGTTCTTATGTGGTAAGGCTTTTATAAAGACGTGGAGTAGAATAAATAAGAATCAATTATCTTCCTGACATCCAGAAATGTATTCCGCTACAGTATAACAAACTTTGTGGATATAATTATCCAGAGACACTTTTTGATTTGGACTTCCATATTCATGAGGAAGCTGCAGAATAAACACGGAGCTCCTCTCCAGCTGACAGAGTACGCAGGTGGTTGACTTTTCAATGCACTTGAAATGAACAAAAGACAAATATAGCCACAGTTCAAAGTCACGGTCAGATTAAGTCACTGTGGCCCCCGGGGTCAAAACTGAGTTGTTGGGGGCTCCAATTAGCTTTCAAAACAGAAATATGGAGAATTTGATGGTGACACGTATCTTTATTTGACCAAAACCTTAAGGGCCATGGATATAGAGAGGCAGTTCCCTGGTTGTTCATCTGGAAGCTTTTACATTTCCTTTCTACATTTATTTGTTCACATATTTCCATATAATGTAGTTTCTTATCAAAGTAGTTACACATCCAAATGGATGAAGACACACATTTTTTGCATAAAATGTTGAGCGTAATTACATGCCCGGACCACATTAACCAATGCATGCATTTTGTTCCTGTGAAA